TGCAGCGGCTGCAGCTCCCACACCCCGGGAGCGTCCCACGGCACGTACTCCCCTCTCCCCAAGTTTAGTTCAGGTCTCGTTTTTCCACACCCTGGGGCAGTGTAATGTAACTAATACAGCTCGATATTCTCTTCCGAAGAAAAACTGGCCGCCAACCAGCCCGCCCCGACGTGTGCCAAGCCCAGATGACCTCGGAGTGGGCAGGTCATGTGGGAGGAGCCCTGGCCTGAGCCGCGGCCACAGGCTGGAGGGTCGCACTCTGTGGGGCAGCCCAGAGGTGCTCGAAGCTTTACGGGGCGCGTAGCTAATGGCGTCGGTGTCGCCCAGGAACCGCTCCGGGTCCAGGTCCCCGGGCTGTTGGGGCGGCCCGCGTGCTCAGGTCTCGAAGTACTTGTAGACGGCTGTCACGTACAGCATCACGTTCTGCCAGTCCGGCCGCTCCGTCCGCACCATCTCGCCGATGTCCTGACACACGGAGGGGCTGGGTTAGAAGTGCAGTACTCCCTGGCTCGTCCCCAAAGGCTCCTGGCCACAGCATAGGGGCTCTCGGGGCTGGACGGGCCTTGAAAGAGCTTCCTGAGTCTCAGCTAATTACAGAGCCCAGCCAAGGACCCCTCTCCATCTCCAGCAAGTGCCCCCGGGAGGTGTCTCCTCCCCGGGTGGCAGCATCCTCCCAAGCAGCCTCCCCTGCCCCAGAGCCACACCCAGAGCAGCCTCCCTGCCTCCTGCGTGGCTCTCCGAGGTCACAGGGTCTCATCTAGTCCATGGAAATCCCTCCCCCACCGGTCTCCCTTTCTGAACCATTCCTGAGGGACACGGTGAGAGTCCTCTCGGCCCCAGAGAGGTCCCCGGGATGTGAGTCCTCTCGGCCCCTGGGAGAGGTCCCCTGGGTCAGAGGCCCAGAACCAAGACGGATGAGCTTCATGATGGGCAAGCCTGAGCTCTCCGAAGACACTCCCCTTTCACTGCTTTCGGCAGAATACCAGGGTCCTGTTACAGGAATGTGGGAAACTGGACACCCCACCCTGCCACCGTGGTGTCTCAGAGCCTGTAACATGTGACCGACACCCCTGAGAGACGCGCACTGCGTGAGCATCAGTAACCCCCCCAGGGAGCTGGTCTGGAGGAGCCTTTCCACGTGTGAGCAGACAGGGCGTGCCGCTGAGCAGGCAGGATGTGGAGGGCCCCCACCGGGGATGCGGCACAGAACCTGCCTGCCAGTCTGAGCGTCCCGGCTACACACGCGTTTCGTTTTGTTCTGACTCGCCAGAGGGTGTGCGCGCTCGCCAGAGGGAGACACGTACGGAGACAGAAGAAAAGAAAGCACCCCACGGGGCATCATCATTTGACAATTCCTTCTCTTTCAGATTCTGGGCAGCACACACAAGTGCCTGGAGTGTCTTTCAATCTGCCAGGTCCAAGGTTCAAAGCCAATGGTCAGCCATGAGGGATCCAGTCGCCTTAACCACCAAGCCACGGGCTGGCCCCTACTACACAGGTTTCTTAGGGTGGAAAAAAACGTATCAGCACTTCAAAGTGTGATGCAAAGCACACAGTGATGGGTAAGTATTTCAATTGAACTATTTTCCCCTATACAGTTGAAGAGAAGCCCCCCCTAAGTAAAGTGCATTTCAATGGATTTAGATCTCTGAGTTCTGGATCTGGTGGCCTAAAACTCAAGCCAGGCGCATATATGTGCATGCCCAAAATCCCAGGAAAAGAAAGGACTGTGGCATGGCCGTCCCTGGGGGCGATTTCTCACCTTCCCTGCACTCTCTCCAGCCAGTGTACGCTGGTCCTATGCAACCCCCCATCCCTCCCTAAAGGCAGCCCAGCAGAGCCACCGACCAAAGCATGCCTGCTGGCCTTGATAGGGTGGGGCAGGGTCTAGAGAAGGGCTGAAGGACGCCCACGTTTTCTACACCTCCCTTCTCACTCCGCGGCTCTCGTGGAGAAAGGCTGGAGACGTCTGTTCAGCCTCTGAGGCCGCCTGCCTCGACTCCCTCAGACTGACGGACGGCAGCCAGACCTGCTGGAAGGTGCCTTCTGAACTGAAGGATTCCATGAAGAAAGAGGCAACTGCAGGCCAGAGACTCCCAGAGGTCTGCCAGGGCTCGTGGTCATGGCCACCCCACCTACGAAGGTGCTTCCTTGGGGTGGTCCACGTGACACATAAAGCACCACGGGCACAGGTGGAATCCTAGACCTGCAGCCACCTTGGCAGGGCCCACGCAGTCCAGCCTAAAAAGAATGAAGCTCGGGACCAGCACGTGGCATAATGGTTATGTCGCTGGACGCCCATGTAGTTGGTTTGAGTCCTGGACCCAGTGGCTTAAAAATCACTCCAGGTAGTTGTGTGTGTGTGTGTGTGTCCAAAATCCTGAGAAGAGAATAGAGGAGAAGGGACTGTGGCAGGGCAAATCCCTGGGGGGTGGTTTCTGGCTTTCTGTCTCTCTGGCAATCACATGCTCCCTATAACAAAAATCTCTCTCATTAGTAAAATAAATAAACAAATAAACAAACTTCCCAATCAGAATGAAGCCCTGCCAGTGACTTGTCAATGGGGACGGGGACTCACCAGCGTGGATTTGATGCCGACGCTCTCAGCCGCCTGGAAGGCCAGCGTGAAGTTCCTTCTCTGTAAGAGAGGCGGTGCTGCAGTGCACAGACACGGACTGCGGGGAAGCGCTCGGAGGACAGGCGCCTGCCTCCTCCACGCGGGGGCCTCCGGGTTGAGCCCACACCAAGTGTCCTCGCACTCCTCACACCGCAGCACTGGAGTGGCCCACAGACACCCGTCCTCCCACAATGCAGAGAAGGTTCTGACACAGACTGAGCGTGGACACATGCCCGAACCACTGGGAACCAACACCTACCAGCTGAGGCCCCCCCGTGTGGAGCCTCAAGGGCTGCCTGTCGGCTCTGGGGTGCTGAGGCTGGGACAGCAGGGGGCAGGGCAGGGGCTCTGGGCGTGTCCCAGATGCTGTCCCAAAAGATCCCTGGCCTAGGACTGCACGGGGCTGGCATTTCTGCCACTTCGGAGACCCACAGTCAGAGTAGGCCATCGGGGATGGTCTAGGTCTGGCCGCCTGCCTGACCCCAACTGTCACTACTCTGGAGGGACGGATGGGCTTGGCACAAATGACATGAAGCCAGAGTAAGACGGGGCCCGAAGGGGCTAAGGTAACGCAGCGCCACCCCGGCTCTCCCGCCTCACCTTGTCCTGGCTGTTCAGCTCCTGGTAGGGGATGTGGGCCGGAAGGTACGTATGCAGGAGCGCGCAGAAGGCGAGCCCGTCATTCCAGCTGCTGCTGAAGTTCGTGATGTCGATGTTCTGAGGAAGAGGGATCAGCACATGAGCAACACAAGCTGTGATCCCTCGGGAGATGCCAAGGAGGACGGAGGAGGCCTCAGCACAAAACCAAACCTTGGGAAAAACGAGCTCGGGAGAAATCACAGCACATTGGAGGGCCACAGTCCCAAGACCCACTGGTGTGACACCCCACCCAGCAGCCGTGAGTCCTCGTCCTGCGTGGTTACGCCTGGGCCTGGCATGACACATGGCACCTGTGACATGACTCATACGTGGCCCCACACGCTGAGAGGCCACCGCCACGCCAGGACAGCCTGGAGGACGTGGGTGACACCAGTGAAGTTTAACACGCCGCTTATTAAAACGTAACACTTTTCCCACCGTCAGTAAAGCACTGACAAGACCCTTGAAGTCAGTGTGGGTCTCAAGTGTGTCCACACAGACCTGCCTTTTCACAGAACTGACACCGTACTGATGGTGAAAAGCAACTGAGAGTATCCCTGCGGCCACCCGAGCACAAAGCGAGGTCCCGATACCACGTCACACTGGTCACTGTGCCGTTCCCACGACCGTGCACACGCACAGTTAAACCAGTGATCGGTAAACCCACGTTTCAGCTGTACCCCCCCTCGCTGGCTTCCAGGCTGCACGTTCCTCTAGGAGGACTTGGGCTGGTTAGCCATTACATAGCGGGGCACAGTATGGCGATAAAACCACTTTCCTTTCATTAAAATTTATTTTTTCTTAAAGGTTTTACCCTAGAGTGTGTGTGCTCACCAGAGAGAGAAAGAGAGAGAGAGAAAGAGAGAGAGAGAGAGATGGTGAGAAGGAAAGTGAGAAATCACCTCTTGGGGGAATGGCCATGCTGCAATCTCTCCTCTATTCTGCTGAGATCTGGAGCATGCGTGTACACATGCCCAGTGTGATTTGAAGCCTCCAGGTCCAGGACTCGAACTGCGGTCAGTCATGTGGGATTCCCGTGCCTTAACCACCATGCCACCTGCTGGCCCCTGAAACCACTTTCTAACCCGCCTTAGACTATTAATACGCTTAGTCGGACCATTCCCGTAGCTTAACTTGCAAAATGCTTTGGGTCCAAGAATTTCTTTTTGTAAAAACTCCAGCAAGATGGCTATTAGAGGTGCTTATCCCTCACCAAAAAAAAGGACCAAATGAAGACTAAGCGGCCAGCTCTCCCCTGCACGGTGTGAGGGACTGTGCTAGAGTGCAGTGTAGATGTGCAGACCCGTGGAACGCTGAGTCTCAGCACACTCCTGCAGAGAGGTGAGCAAGCCTTCTGTGTCCCCTACGGTGCCCCTGCAAGCAGACGGGCCAGGAACTGGAAGGGACTTCCGTGCTGGGAGCAGGTCAGCCAGACACTCCAGCATCCCCCGGGCATCTTACAGCCTTCGCAGGCCCAGAGTCGAGTTTGGGACGCGCCCGTCATGTGATAATGGGGATCGATACAGCAAGACGACGTTAACAATGGTGGACATACGTGCGCCCAGGTGTATACAGCAAATATTAGATCTAAAGGGAGAGATCTCAACATAAAACTAGCTTGAGAGTTTGAAAACTCACTCTCAGCACTAGAGGAATCATCTAGGTAGAAAACCATCTAAGAAACACCTGACTTACACGGCACTTTAACCAAAGGGTCCCACCCGACATTTACAAAACGGTGCACGCATTGCTCTCAGAGCACTGGTGCGGTCTCTGGGATGGGCCACATGGAAGGCCACAAATGAACCCCCGACAGATTTCCAAACATCTCTGTCAGGTACCTTTTTCTGACCACGATGGAACAAAGTTAGAAATTAGTAACAAGAAGAACTTTGGAAGCTGTACAAATATACATGGCATTAAACAACATGTCCCTAAATGACCACTGGGCAAAGAAGAAATTAAGGGAATTAAAACATTTCTTGAAACAGGGATCAGTAGATGGTGTAATGCTTACGTCGCTGGACTCCCACGGAGTCGACTACAGTTCAAGTCCTGGACCCGGTGGCTTAAAACTCACACTGTGTGTGTGTGTGCACGCACACACACTCACGTGTGCCCAAGATCCCGAGAAGAGAACAGAAGCGAAGGGATTGAGGTGTGGCCATCCCCTCTGGGGGTAATTTCTCGCTTTCTGTCTGTCTGTCTGGCGAGCACACATGCCCTATAGCAAAAAAGCTCTGTTAAAATGAAAACAAATGAAAAACGAAACGTAACATAACCAAACCTATGGGGCCAGCAAAAGACATTCTGAAAAAAAAAAAAAGATTGATGAAACAAGAAGGTGGTTTTTTGCTTATAAAAAAACCAAAGAAATAGGTACGAGGTTTTTGTTAACAGATTTTAATTTTAGCTCCTTTTATCACATGTGGAAACAGTAACAGTGTGAGATAATACATATCTGAATCTACACGTAGCTGGTATTGATCTCGTCTTTATTTCATATCATCATTTATAACATCAAATATACAAATTGACCTTATTTTTTATAAAGAGAGATTTTTACTATAGGGCATGTGCACTCACCGGAGAGACAGAGAGAAAGAGAGAAATCACCCTCCAGGGGGAGGGCCACACAGCAGTCCCTTCTCCATTCTCCTCGTGGGATCTCAGACAGACAGACACACACACATACACACACACGCACACACACGCGTGCCCGGCCTGAGTTTTAAGCTGCTGAGTCCGGGACTCAAACCGCAGTTGACTACACATGGGAGTCCAGCGATGTAACCATTATGTCATCTGCTAGTCCCCACAGTGACCTTATTTTTAGAAAGGAACAAAAAGGCCAGCCAGTGACATGGTTAAGGCAACAGATCACACATGGTGAACTGTGCGGTTCAAGTCCCAGATTCAAAGGCCTGGCACACGCGTGTTTGTGACCAAAATCCCAAGAGGGAGAGACAGAAGAGAAGGGACTGCGGTGTGACCATGCCCTGGGGGGATGCTTTCTCACTTTCCTCCTCTTTCTAGTGCAAGTACACACACACACCCACAGGCAAATTTTTCAAAAGAAAAAGGGGTTTAAAAAAAAAGGTAAGTTTTGCTTACAGGTGTGTTGATGAGGCAGGGAAAACGTACTCATCTGATTAAGCGGTCAGTTACCCTGCACATCCATCCCGGGAGTGCTGGGTGTGGCCGGCGGGCAGCAGGCTCAGGGCTCTCTGTCCCGTGGGCCCTGACATCAGGCAGCGATGGCCTCCCCTTGCCTGGGGACATGGGGATGAGAGAGAACAGCGAGCGCTATTCTGTCAAGCAAAGTTATGATCGCCCGGCCTCCCCGGTGAGGGGCTCAAAGCAATGACTCGCGACACACGGAAAGCTCGGCCGCCTGAGGACGTGGGCGTCTGACGGCGCCAGCTCGCGTGGGAGTGGGTGCACACGGGGGCCACGCTGCCTTGGCTCCCTCCTGGGCCACTCTACTCCATATCAGGTTCGACTACAGAGGGAACCTACTGCCTTTTTTATTTGAGATTTTATTACATGATGTTGCAATTTAGCTGGTACGCAGCCTTCGCCCCTTCTGAAGGAGAAACGACACATTTAAATGTTGCTGATTCCCACATTCCAGGTAGCGTACGCGAACGGGGAAAAACTCTCCCCACTACCTCTCGTTTCAGCATTCACTGTTTATTTCATGCCACCTCCACAGACATGGAGAGTCAGCTTCCTAGGGCTGGGAAAGCCTCACGTGTATTATTTAAGGCGAGCCACCCTGCTCCTGGCTCTGTACGAGGCCCACGGCGGCATTCCCCCGCCCCCCCCTGAACGAGCAGGCACG